AATCATTAAAAGTGATTTTCTATAATTATAATTATAATTACTATATTTTATAAGTTGTGCGAATTTCAAAAAAATTCACGTCCGCGATACCCGCAGTGATCGCGATAGCATCCATTATGTCCGCGACCGCGATAAACGCAACGCGACCGCCGCAATTTGAATCCCTGGAAGCCAATTCTGTACCCATTACTGATTTTTGGGTGGCCTTCCTTCCACCAATAATTAAAACCTATTCTCCCACTTCTTACTACTGCACCAGACTTGTCACCACAACACCCATCTTCCATTGAGACACACCCACGTTAGATAAGACAAACAGACGCCACCAGCAGGCTACAAAGAGGAGCCGAGAAAAGAAAAAAAAGCACATGCAACGAAAAATTCTTGGGTCTTCGACTGGGACGTCGTGAACCATGAAATAAAAGTGCGCTGTGGGACTATTACCTAGACATGCACCAGCTATAAATTATGGGTCTTGGACGGGGACGACGAGAAACACCAAAACTTGCCGAGAAGGTGAAAAGTCGCGGCCTACAACTTGGGATCAACGCCAATTTGGAGTTTTTCTCGCAAAGAAAGGACCAGAATCGAAAACACGGTGAAGAGACAAAACTCTCTGTGAATTTTGGGTTCGAACGGTGGCCGGAAAGAGGTGGCGGACGGCGGAGAGGAATGTCGGAGGATAACGAAGGCGAATGGCAGAAGACGTTGAGGAGCGTCGAAGGGAGGACGAATGACTGACACCTGATTCTTATGAGGAGCTAGAAGGTCGCCTGGATTCAAGAGAGAACTTTTGAAATTTATCATGAGTTACTGAGATCAAGAGTTCGATGTTGGGCTAACAAAGTGGTCCATTTGTACTGTCCATTCCCTTAATTCAGACACTTATGCAAGCATGAATGCATGATACAATTTAGATATGGAATATACGAAGCTTGTTGAAAAAGAAAGGAAAAAAAATCTGCTCGTGATTATAAACAGAGCAAGCTTCAGTGCATCACGATAATTATAGATCGAAAGAATTACACACTTACCTTGAGCTCATTAGCCATTTGCTCACTGTCAATATTCTGAATCCCCCACTTTATTGCAATCTTTGCTATGAAACATTTTTCCCATAATTTCAAGATAGCATTAGCCAAACCTTGAAGGTTCCTATTCCTCCCTGTGGCAAGAAGAGGAAACCAGAATGAAAAATTCTGAAAATTGCATACACTAGTGAAACACAGTCACAGAGCACAGTCCAGTGCACCTTTTGTTATACAAGATTTAAACCATCAAAGTCCTTGAGTTAATACTCATGTCTAATGCAGATTTCCCCTCAAAATAATTTCTACTAACAAGCACATATTTCTCCAGACTATTTCCCCGTGGTAATTTCTTAAAATGGGTAAGGAAACTACATGTATATATGTTATATATATGCCTAGAGCACAGAAGGAATGCCCCGACAAATGCACGTGTGAGTTCAGCCAATAAGTTTGCAAAAGATAAGGTGGTACCAAGAGCAAAATGGAAAGGTAAGGGGTGAGAAAGCTTCCTCAAATATGTCAACTCTTCATCTGTCAATTTGGGTCTCGTGTTTGGAGGAGAAAACCTGGTTGGAGGCCTAAATCCAGGAAACACTTCTGGAAGCAAGTCAGCGTCAACCGGTAATGGCTTTCGCATCCACCAGTCAATAAAGCGAGGTCCTAAACCATCCAATAATCTATCAGTTTCCCTCTCATACAACGATCCAATCACTGGTTGGCTATTCTCATCTCCTTTCATAAAGATGCCTATAGACTTAGAATCTTTTTCTTCGTCTTCTCTATACAAACTTCTCCCCCAAGTACTTATCTTTGATTTTTCCGGAAACGTACTAATATTACTGCCTGATGCAACATGAGTGACTGTTGATGAAGATACTTTTTCACCACCAGCACAATCCGAATACTCTGTTATAGAAAATTTAGAAGTCAGCCCATGGTTCTGCCCTCTATAAACAACAAGAACATCTTTCTTGCTCCATACAACCAAGCCTCCGGTCTTCATCTGTCACGTAAAGATTTAACAGTCAGAAACTTTGGCAATGTTAAATCCAAAATGTTGATTTATCTATGTTTGAGGCCTAACAAACACTAACCATAAATTAATATTTATTATCATTAATAATAACATCAAAATCAATAATATTTGCATATGAACAGAGGAAAAGTTTCTTCAAAATACCCTTTCATATGAGAATACTCTACCATCACTTGTTCCAAATATTAAATTTATCAAATTGAATTCTATAACTTAAGACTAAGAGGGTCAAATATGAGAGTTCTTAACAAATTATATTCTAAAATCATTTGCCTAGAGAAATTTATTCTTAAACAGTTATTTTACTGGAGTTGTTCTGATTTTAGTTCTAGTTTAATTTGGTTCTAAACATAAGTCAACTCGTTATAAATGATATGATCAACAATAAACAACCTTGAAACCTCTAAATAAAACCAAGGGCTATCAACAAAATGCAAAAGAAGTGAACAGAAAAGAAACCTCCACGATTTCTCTAGCTCTATCCATATTTCTACACAAAGGAACACTAAATTTCAGCATAGCAAGTTCATTGTCCCTCCAAGCCGATCTTATCTCATCAATGACAGCCTGAGTTACACCAGCTTTCATCACCTTAACCCATTTCCTCATCCTCATTGCCTTTTTTCTCAATCTATCAAGCAAACCCTTATCAAGACTAATCTCAGCCATAGTCAAACTTTCTCCTTTTTCATCCTCCTGAACACAAGTTCCTCTTCTTCTCTCTTCCAAGGCATTTTCCCATCAATTTTTTTGACATCCCCATCACTTCCAATCTCCTCCAACCAATTTCCAATCTCGAATTCTTCGGATTCCCCAATCTGGGATTCCTCCAAAACTTCAATTCCTTGCAGCTTTTCAACGTTTCTAATGATCTTTTTAATCACTTTCTTCCCTCTCATCCCACTTTCCTTACCGAATAATGCTTTCTCAGGCGCCTCGGAATTTCGGTTTGAGCTCCTTCTAGTGGTGGGTTTTGAAGCATTTAACACTTCATCGGGTTGAAGAAGGAGAGGACCCTTCATCCATGGAGCTGTAGGCATCTTAAGGAGGCCATCATTATTGTTGTTTTTGGAGACTGAGAATTTGGAATTTTTGTTGAAAGTGTGATTTCCTTTCTGGGTTGTGGAAGGGTTTTGGTTTGAGTTGAAGGAAGAAGGGGAAGGAATGGGAGAATTTAAGACGGTGGCGTACATGAGTGGTGGAGAGTGATTGAAGAACAAGTTAGAAGAACTGGGCAGCTCACTGCTTTGGTTCAGGTTTTATAGCTTTAGATTTTTTAAAATAATAATAATAACAAATTTTAAAAGTATTTTTTAATTTTTCTTATTTCTAAAATTTTTTTTTTTTAATATACACACACTTGTAACTATGGGTCCGATGGGGTGGCAGTTCATGTTTTCTGGTCTTGATAAGGCAAACAATATACATACCTTATTCCAATTTAGAATTTTTAACTATTAAGATTATTTAATAAATTTAAAAATACTCTTTTTATTTATTTGTCTTTTAACAAAAGAAATTTTTATTAATGACAATAAAAGCAATACGCAAACACGATCTAAAATATAGGGAAATCTATTTGATTGTCATTAAATTATTAGACATCTTCTATTTTGATCTCTAAACTGAAAATCTTATAAATGTGCCATCAACATTACGATTTAATTGCAATTTAGTCACCATTCGTTAAATCGAAAATGGTAAAGTTGATTGTCGGTTTTTTGCTTGGTATAATTATACGTTTAATTTTCAATTCTTACAAATCATACTAATTTAGTCCCACAAATATCATCCACATTTTTCCTCACCCCACTATGACCATTGTTTTCATATGGATAAATCGAAAGTGAAGGGAGACGGTTACTCTCTAAAAATTTTAAATATTTTCCTTATAATTTTCATTGAAAATCTATTTTTGTCTTTCAAAATTTTATAAAATCATCCCCTCTAAAATATTATAAATTTATTTTATAACATAAAATCTTATTTTGATTATTAATTTTCATCATTTATCGTCACCGTTCCACGTAACCTCCTTACCTCCCTACTCTTTATTTTTTTTTTTGTAAACTTACCTCCCTACTCTTTAAAAACCCAGACTCAAATCCAATCTTTTTATGACAACACCTATTATAGTAGCAAACAACAAATAACAACAACAAAAGAAGGGGAAAAAACAAAATGAATGAGAAAGAAAATAACTCATTTTTGACAACGATATATATATATTATTAAATATTTTTAATACACAGAAATTGCTTTAATTAATTTAATTTTATTAAAAAGTTTTTTGAAGAAATAAATTGATCAAATTTAATCGTGTTTGAATATATATTTAAAATCATCGTGTAAAGAATTTTGTTTATAAAAAAGTAAACAGTAAAATAAAGAATGTTTTATTGATTACCTTTTCCCAAACCTATAATTTTATATATTACATATAAAAATAAATAAATATCATATAACTTATTCAATAGATATGGTTTGAGAGGTAAACAATTCATTTTATTTAATTCTTTTCTTTTTATCCATAAATGTAATTTTGTATTTATTTATTTCTTATAAAATGTATTTATATCATATAATCATTTATAATAAAAAAACTTGTACATTTCAATTTCAATTATATGTTGCATGTTATATTGCCGGTGTATTTAGGATACAATGTAATTAACAATTATTTGTTATATGTTATCGTGCTAATATAATTTTCCGACCAAACATCTTTAGTAGTTAAGAGATTGTTATAACTTTCGAATGTAACATAAGCGTGCTTGAATTTTTAAATTTATATTTATATAGAGAGAGCAAGAGCAAGCGAGTCCAAATATAAAAATGGTTGTCCCTTGTTTCCATATGTAATGGGGTAAGGGGAGGTAAGATAGTAGGCTGCCCCCAACACTAGGTTGAGTCCAGATATAAGTTGATCACAAATCACAAGTGTCTGATTGATACTAAAAAAAAGGTCTGAATAAATAACTTGTACAAAGTTTCTAGCCAAACATGGTTTCAAACCTGCAACCAAGATAACACACACACCCAAGGGCCAATAAATCTCAAAAGCAACCAGCGTGCAGAACTAACCAACAAACTAAAAGAAACTTCGAGAAGACGAACCGAAATGTCGAGACAAGCAGACCCGGTTACATCACCTTCTTGGCTTCATCATCAACAGGGTCACGTAGGGTTCCAAACATCCAATCCATCCAAATGGTGTAATGCCCATAATTATGGCGATACGTAGTGTGGTGAATGGTGTGGTAGCCAGCACCCATGACAGGCCAAAGGTTTCCGTGGATGCAATCGTGAATGTTCGTCGTCCAGATGGCCTCGAGGAATACGAGTCCGATGTGAGTTCTAAAATGAGTTGGGATGATTAACAGTGCTATAACATGAGGGGCTGCCTGCAGTATTCCATCCAGAGGGTGAAAAGCCAAACCTGAACATAAGACAATGAGCAATGTTTCATTTAGAAGGGTAAAATATCCATAAAAAATTTGCAGCCTATGCTATTCAAACTAGAGTGTGACGGGCATATGTCTGTCTAATACAGGCATGGTCAAATTTCAAGTTTTCCACGTATTTAGATCTTTGGCGATGATATCCCTATACCGTGTTTCAGACAGATAATTTAAGAAAAATGAAGAGTTCAAACAGCATAGTTTTCAACTGAATTGGATATATCGAGATAGTATATCCGCTTAGCCAAAGTGTGTTTTCTATTTGTCAACACAAAGAAATCTTCTATTTGGAACAAATTTTAAGTTTGCCACACTAAATAGCTTCAATGAAAGAAACTAGGTAGCCATCGGTGCAACTAACAAGAAAGGGAAAGACCAAGAAAGATGCTGCAATTAGGGATGGGAATGAAGTGGAGAAGGAACGGGGATTGCCTAATCCTATTTTACTCGGCCTCAAGTATGAATGTCGTATATCAGTATGTGTATTTGTCTTAGACAAGTATATTTATTTATTTTTTCTAATTTGTCCATGTATTTGAAGGATCCTTAGAGGGATAAGAGCCGAACATGAGTGTACGATTTTGGTACATAAAGAAAAATGAAGGGATAGGGCAAAATAGGCATTATCTACGCTAACCTCCATATGGAAGTATATCATGACATACACAAACACTATATACTAATTTATTCATGAAAATAACTTTAATATAATATACAAACTATATATATGGGAAATATTAATATATCTCTAAATAATTATATACACGACAGATATAAAGGACAATATAAAATATTTATCACACTTCTACTTTAGCAAAATAGAATAACTTGTAATTAGCAGATCTGTACTGTTACTGCCAATTCAGATTGTATTCGGCGAACAGTGCCTTTTTTGGTCCATATTCTGAATGAGCATATAATATTTTCCAAACTCCATAGACAGATAGTTTGAGATGTGGATTAAATAGATTGATGGTTCCAGGAAAGCAATGGAGCACTTAAATTGCATAGAATTTTTTAAAATTTTTTATGCTGGATTCAAGGAAAGGTTGAAAGGCCAATGGCCTAGGTACATCAGAAAGAAACGCTAAGAGAACAGGATCAGGAAAAAGATCTTTGAGATGGCACCCATGAAGCACTACTACACATATATCCTACAACCAAGTAAAATCTGCATCAAGACTAGTTCACACATTCTCCGGAAAGCTATTCATTAGCACGCAGCTTAATGTAATAGCATCACTAAATGCTGGCAATACAACTACAAACAAAGAATGCTTAAAAACTTTTGATAGGCAAAGCTCATAGTGAAAGAAATTGACAGAACCAATCTGATTCCCTTCCTAACAGATGAAATGCTTCACAGATTAATATCTCAAAGATGTATGCAGTCCAAATTACCGCAAGATTTGTTATTAATCCGTACTAATGGTTAGATATCCTTTGAGAACTTCTCACTGGTCCTAGAAACTCGAGATATGAACTATCTCATGTGCAAGTTGGGAGCATACTTCAGCTGCTCAAACTGGGACCTAGGTGCCAGCATTAGTTTCAGCCAGGGAAATCCAGAGCCAAGCAAATTAAGAAGCTCATACACAAGATGAGAAAGATAATGGTTAAGCTTACATAAAATTAAAGGTCATTTTTGCAAATAGCGGAGGATGAGATCCCCAAAAATACCAACTGCCTAAAACTGGCAGATTCTCTGGATACTCTTAAACTCAAGCTTTCTAGCATGGTCATATCCATTTACTGAATGATATTAATTTGCCATATCAATCAACCATAAAATCCCGCATGTTGTAAAAGTAGGAAACAGAAACTATTTCAATATGGTCCAAAACTTTGGGCAGTGGAAGAAATTATAAATCATTGAAATTAGAGAAAATAGATAAGAACTTACCAGCAAACGGAGAAAGGGTATTCTGTTTGTTGTAGATGTGATGAGTTGCATGAAGATACTTGTATAGAGGTTTTATGTCATGCAACTCCCTATGCATCCAGTAAATGCCAAACTCGACAAAGACAAGATATATAAATAAATATGCCGCATACATAAACCAACTGGCATCACTTATTCTAGCATAACATTTTGTCCAGCCATTTTCAACCATGTATTCGGAAAGTGTTGGAAGAGCACAGTACCAAGGCATGGCCTTCATAGCAACATAAATTTGCAAGAGCATGGCTTTATTTGTAGGTATAGCATCTGCATTATGAGCACTCACAACATTAACAAAGGAGCCAGGAATTTCATATTTGTAAAACCAAAACAGAAAAAAATATAGTTGGCATTTATGAGTAAGTTTTGCATTGTTCGGTACCGAACGGCTTTTAAGATTGCCTTAACTGTTGCAAATAAGAAGAGAGATTATCATTTTGTTAAACAAAAATGAAGCACTGGAGCTGTTTTGCAGGTATCTTGCATATATTGGCAAAAGGTTAGCATTCATCAAAATCTCATAACCATAATTTTCAGGGAGAGATTTTAATTAAGAATGTCACATGCAACTAGCAACACTATCAGCAAAATTCTTTTAGATTATCACACGCTATGCTATTAGATTCTTCACTTTCCATAAAATACTTATGACCGGATCTTGTGTTCGGCACATATTCAGACACTAATAAGGCTATGTCTACCTTAAAATACAAGGAAAATCTTAGAAAACAAATTATGCATACTTGTGTAGGATCACGAGCACACCCGAAACTATCCGGTGTTCGGTCGACGTAGATCAAAAGTATTAACAAAATGATCATAATGCATTCTGCACATATATTATTTAATCATTGACTGGATTCCCATCTATACTTCAAAAGTAAAAAACTGAATCCAATACGGATCCTCCTTTGACTAAAGATTATCAGTAAAAAGGCTAAATCAATAAAAAAAAGGGTTATATCAAGATCAGAAACTGTTCATATATAAAAGAATTCCCAAATCCTTTGTTAAACTACATGTATAGAAAATCAAACATAAAACGTACAACAACAACAACAACAAAAAGTAAATGAAATATTCCAGCTTCACATATGAACTCTCAGATTCAAAACGATGTCAGCAAACCAATGATAATATAAAAGTATATATACAATATCAACAAACGTTTACACAAATCAACTTGAAGTAAAGAACCAATCAAAATGAACAGAACCCAGATTCAAAATCAACAAAAAAAAGAAAAAACGGAGAAAAGGAGTACCTTTGGGAAGATAAACATTGCGTTTCAAGTAGTAAATATAGAAGCACCAAAGGAAACCGGAGATGAGATAAAGCAAATTCCCGGCAATGTAGTTTCGCAGCCAAGTTTGCAAGACATGGGGGAGCGGATCCCAAAACTGTGTAGGCAAAAGGTTGCCCAACACAAGGTGGTTGTACCAAGTGGTCTCATCCACGAATTCCTGCAAATACTCTCCCATTGATATGTCAATGGAATTCGGCTCTGATCAGCCACACAAGCAACAGATTTAAGTCTCAGGAAGAACAAAAAAAACTGAGCCAAATGTTGTGCTTTCTTTATGTTTAGGTAGATAACTAAAAAAAAACATAATATTAAAAAGATAGTGTAAACTATAACCATGGTCATCAATGTTTGAGTAAAGTTTTTCTTTTTCCCATTAAAGTTTCAAACGTTACAAAGTGATCACTAATATTATCGATTTGTAATAAAATAGTCACAGTCAACCCCCATTAAATTGAATTGATGATGTAACAATGTTAACAAAAAAAGGTTAATATTTAATTTTACCTCTAAAATATTACTAAAACATCAAATAGATCCTTAAACTTTGAATTTATATATGTTTGCCCCTAAAACTATCTAATTAGAAAATAGTACAATAATATCGTCCTTGGAGGAGGAGCTGTTCCCGACGCCGGGGAAGTTTAAGATTTCCATAAAATCTGACGCCATAAAATAGTATTTGTATTGACTTGTCTTTGTTTGGGAAGAACCTCCATTTGTTGGAATTTCTGCAGCATCATCAATTGATTGAATTGCACTGCCTGGTGAGCTCCTCACATACACATTTGCAACTGATTTATTTGAAATAACAAATTTTTCCACCAAACCAGGTTCCAGTAGTTTGTTTTTGAACTCTTGGAAACTAATTTGAAGAACACACCAAAAAAGAAAAGAACTGAAGAGAGAGAACCGGAAACTAAAACAATTGCAAGAGAGAGGAAGAAAACAGAACAAAACTTCTTTGCCATCCACGGGAACAGCTCCTCCTCCTAGGATGACATTGTTGTACTATTTTCAAATTAGTAAGTTTCGGGGGTAAATTAGATATAAAATTATTATTAAGGATCTATTTGATGTTTTAGCAATAATTTAGGAGTAACATTAAATATTAATATTTTTGTTCATATTGTCACATCATCAATTTAATTGAGTTGACGGTAGAATGACCATTTTATTACAAACCGATAACGTTGGTGACCAATTTGTAACTTTTGAAACTTCAGTGAGAAAAATGAAAATATACTCAAATATTAATGACCATTTGTGTATTTTACCCTAAAAATATCCCTAACGATTTGATTCAATAGTTACTTTAGTCTTCACTTTTTTTTAGAGCATTTTGATCCTATTGTTTCATTTTGAGACAAAAAGATTCTTATATGGATGAAAATAACACACCAAAATAGAAGTATTTTTATCTTAAAATGAAATATCAAGGGCTAAAATGTTTTCTAAAAAAGAAATAAAGGAAAAAGTAATTATTTGATCAAGCTCTACGGGCCTTTTTTTGTTCAAAAATTAAATGTTATAGGCCAAAATGCTCTACAAAAATAAAGGTCAAAGTGATCATTTTTATAAACGTTGGGGTTAATTTTAGGATTATGTCAAATAAAAGGGTAAACTACATGTTTAGTAACCTAACTATCACTTTGGTTCCATTTTAGTCACCCAATTATTTATTTTTTAAAATTATACCTAATGTTCACCTACCGTTCAAAAAATAAACAGAACCACTGATTTAGTAAATGTTTTTTACTTTTTTTAATGACGATGTGATATTCCCTTATATGACACATCAGTATCATCGCTAATTTTTAACGATGGGCCTAATTTTAAATATGATTTAAAAAAAATAATAGTATGTAACTAAAACAGAACTAAAGCAATAGTTCGGCAATTAAGTATGCCGTTTATCCAAATAAAAATTGCTACTTTTTTTATTTGAAATTTCTATGGGTTTGTATCAGAGCTAAGTCGAACCAATATCTGTATACTTTTAAACTTTTATTTTGAAGAATCTGAAAAAATCCGGTCCAAATGGTAGATATTACATAAATAACATCATTAAAAAATATTTAACAAACCAAATTTATTCTAATTGTACTTATTTGTATATAATTTGAATGCTTTCATTCATTAGCAGCGGCGGCACCAGCGTTACAGCTGGTAGCCGTCGTAAATATTTTTTTATTTCGTATATATAATTTTTAAAGAAAAATCTTTATATTTATTACACGAGTTTCTCAACTTTCATAATATGTTTTTTCTCCGTATTTTCACATATTTTTTTAATTTTCTTTTAGGGTTAGATTTGATATCACTATAACTGATTAAGATAGAACTCATTTGTTATCTCGTTGATCTTTCCTGATTTGAACCCTTGAATTAGATTTGGATACGCAACTTGCGATCGCATATAATTATCTCGTTATGCTTGTCTCTGATTCACATTTTTTTCAGTGGTCTTTTAGTAGTTTAAATTTCCTATTATGGTTTATTTGTCGTAGCAGTCATATATGTTCGTATCTACTTGTTGTTCGAGTTTAATTTACATGTAGTAGTTTAAATCCCCCATTGTGGTTTGGTTCTAGAAAATATTTTTCTATTTTCATTTTCTATTTTGTTTTAAAAAAATAGCTTTCATTTTCAGTTTTTTGGAATTTAGAAAACATGTATGGTTAATATAAATAAAAACTTGAATCCAAAACTAAAATAGTAAAATTGTATCTGGTATCTATTTTTTTTTAAAATAGAAATACACAAATAGTTACTAAATAATTAAATTAAACTATAATTATTAAAAAAATTCATTATATAAATTAACATGTGAGTTATGCAAATATAAAATAATAAAGTTGATAAGAAATTACATAACCCAAATTTATTTTAGTTTATAATAAGAATATAATATTAGTGCATATTGAACATTGATTAAATTTTAAAAATACACAAAAATATTAGTATAAGCAAGAACATATAAAAAGTTTCATTAACATAAAAAATATGTTTATTGGTAATTGAAACCCTCAAACTTTAAGAAAAAAAATAATTAGTGTAGTCATTGAACGTTTTTAGCACCAAATGTGATCTTTAATGTTAAAAATAAATAAATATCTAAACATTTGAACAACAAAATCAAATGTTGATTGTCACGACACTTACATGGCAGTTCACAAACTTACATGACAATCTACAAGATTGATGTAACAGTACATAATGGATGATGATGTGGTAGCTAGACTTAACTGATTATTTTAGAAAGTTTGATGACTTATTTAATTTTAAAAAATTAAAAAATTATTTAAATTAAAAATATAAAATATTAAAAAATTAAGATATTAAATACATCAAATATAAAAATTCTACAAAATTCAATTATTAACTAAAATTTTATTTAAGGACTACATTGAGTGTAAAAAAAGTTCAACGACCATATTGATCTTTTACAAAAGTTTGAGAGTTTCAAATACCATTAAGTTAAAAAAATTATTGTTAGAATGATTTAAACATGTGCAAAGTAAGTTAAAAATCTAGATATCATGTTTCCTTATTTTTAAATTTCCTAAACAATCTTAATAAAAATATTGAAAACATCTTTTTATGTTTTAATATTTTCACTTACTTTTGTTTTCATTTTCCATAAATCATTTTCTAATTTTGCAATCAAACACGTTTTCTTCAACGTTTTCTATTTTCCTAGAAAATAAAAATGAAAATAATATGTATTTTCTAAAACCAAACACACCGTTAACTTTTCATCTTCAATTATGAATCTCCAACGAATGTTCTTGCTTTAGCAATGAAGAAAACATGTTCTAACCAACAAGTTTATCATCCAAAAACATATTATCATAATCCCCTAAATAAGATTTAATTTAGAGTTAAATATAATATTCAATAAAAAAAAATTGGTCATCTTTTCCAATGGTTTTGAGCCTTTAGATCACTTGAATCCCTAAAATCAAGTTTAGGATTTCGAATCAACTTCCTCTAAGTTAGAAACAAAACATACCAAATGAAAACTAAGGTACAAAGCTGTAATTTGATGTCTAAAATGGTTTAATGGGGTTTCGATTGAACTTGCTTAGAATAACAACTAATAGTTTGCTTCCTTTCTAATTTCAAAAACAAAACCAAACAAATGTCCAATAAACCAAAACAAATACAAAAAAAGAGTGAAAGGAATATTATAGTTCGGCCGGCGATGTTCACGACGTTAGAGGACTCTGTTCGTGAATCCGGACGGCGAGAAGGGAGAGTACACCATTGGGAACAACATACTCCAAAATGGAGACAATCGGACGGCGAACGACGGTGGATTGGAGAGAGCAAAGTCGAACGGTCTTTAGTTATTTCAAGACGAACGACTCATCCTCTCACAAAACGGACCCTAGATCCGAGATGGGGAAGTCTAGACGGATCTCTAGGTAAAATTTGGTGGCCAATGACGGACGAGACGACGGTCGACGGGGTAAGCCACAGGTGAACAGTCGGTTTCTAGAGAGAGGGCCTCTCTCTCTCTAATTTTTTTTATAAAACTAATTAAAATGAAAAAAGAAAAAGAAAAGAAAAATGTTGGTATTTATAGGAAACGTTTAAGGGGAAATCACTCTTAGCTCCCCCAAATTTAGGCGTGTTTTTGCAAAATAGTCACATGTAGGGACTCATTTCATAATTTCACCATTTATGTTTGTGCTTTATAATTTTTGGTTTAATTGTTGTTTAGTCCATGTATATTAGCGAATTTTTCCATTTTGGTTGTGTAGTGGCTATTTAATTGTCTTTAAAATATTTAGGGATTAATTTAATAATTTTATCTTTATTGTTCGAATATGTGTTTTATGCTAAAGTAAATGGAATATTTGGGAAATAGTTGCTTAATTTCATGCATGTGTATATTTCGAACATCACATATTTTATTTGTTTATTTTAATTTGGCCATGTAGTTTTAATTTATTTTAATTTAGTCCCCTTGTTTTATTTATTTCCATTATTTGCAGTTTTAGCACTTAATATGGTTTATGTTCATTTTAGTCCTTTGTATACTTTATTTTATCTTAATTTTGGCATAATGGTTTGGTTATTTATGTTTTAGCCCTACTTTTATTTTTTTATTTTTAGTTTTTACATGTTATTTGCACGTTAATTCATTTTAGTCCTAATTAATTTCGCATGAAAGTCTCATTAGCATAACTCAACTGATTTCATAATTGGATTAAAGGAAGTATTTATTTATTTTAAAATA